AAACAAATTTGTGTTGATGGACAGTGTCACACAGTAAGCCTTCAAAATGCTTCTCCTTAGAAATTTAAAGTATGTTTTGGAAGATGACTTCTTAAAACCTACAGATATATGAAATAGTATTCAAGCTAGAGTTTTACCAACAAACATAAGCTACTGCAAAATCTTTAAAATAAGAATAACTAACATTTATTCATGTGTCTGTGTGTCAGGCCTGCAGTGTAGTGTTTCACTTGCATTTTCTCATTTATTCTTTACAACAACAATAAAGTAAATGGTATTGTTAGGTATATTTTGCACAGGAGATGAGACGAGAAAACTTATGCTAAGAAATATTTATTTGCCCAAGGTCACACAGCAAGGAAGTGATTGAGTCCTGATTCAAACTCAGGCCATCTGACCCTGTGCGCTTATCTATGATGCTAAAAAAGCCACTTGTTGTTAGCACATACCAATATTAATACTATCATAAAATCAACACAAAATGAGAACCACCCAGAGATAAGCTTAACCAAAAAAGCTGCATGGATATTATAAAATGTTCAGATTTTCATTGAGGGACATAAAGGTTTTGGCAAATGGAGAGATATACTGTGTTCCTGACTGAAATACTCAATAATGTAAAAATTATCATTTTAAATTCAACCCAATCTCTTAAAAAATCCCAATGCACATTTCATCTGGAAGAATAACTGTGCACAAATAGCCAGGACAATTCTAAAAGGAGGAAAATGAGCAATTGTAAGATGGTACTAGGGGTGGCGGGAAAGCTCTCATGTAATGCCAGGTCAGTAATTACATCAGTGTACACCTGGAACCAAGTAAGACATTGATGGAGTAGAATAGAAAGTTCAGAAACAGCCTCGTAAAGGTAACATTTCATAGCAAGTGGATTATTCAATAAATAGTCTTGGGACAACTAACATTTGGGGGTGGAAGATTTAGAAGTCTATCTTACACTATATACTAAAATAGACTCCAGATAATTTTTAATGTTAAAAAGAAAAAAAAGAAAGCCAGAAGAAAATAGGTAAGTTTTATATAACTTGAAGGAAGAAACAAGTTTGAAAGAATGAAACACAAGTCAGAAACAATATTAGAAAAGGATAGATTTAACTACATTAAAAATTTTAAAAATCTGGACTTCAAAAAACACAACAAATAAAATTATAAAGAAAATGACAAACTGCGGGAAAGTTTTTATAGTATATCTGAGGGACAACAATTATTATACTTAATATACAAACCAATAAAAAAGATAATTGTTCCATTTGTAAATACGAGCAAAGACTGTCAACATGCAATTCAGCAAAAGAAGAAATTGAAATTACCAATGAAGCTTTGAAAAACATTTATTCTTCTTAGTAATAAAAAATATATAAAGGTAAATGATATACCATTTTTTATCTATTGGACTTACAAAAATCAAAATAGTAGTATCCAGTGTCAGAGAGAATGTGGGGAAGAGGATATTTTCCTAAAGGGAATTGTTGAGAGAATGTAAATAGTACAAAATTTCTAGGGATGGGGGATAATTTGACAATGGGCTATCAAAGCTTTAAAATTACATACACTTTGACCTAGCAACTCCTCTTTTAGATATTTATGCAAAGGTAACATTTGGAAGTGTGCAAAGATGTAGCAATGTTTATAATAAATAAAAATTTAAAATTGGAGATAGTATAAATGTTTAACAATAAGGAATTGGCTAAAAAAGTTATTTTTGATCCAGCTAGGTAGCCACTAAAAAGATATAGTATATTTATTAATAAGGAAAGATATTTATATGTGAATGAGAAAAGCAGATTATAGGACAATATGCATAATATGATCCCATTTTTGTACAAAAAGAATGTATATCATTATCACAGGGAAAAGTTTGGGAGAATAAATACCAAAATGTTAATGTAGTGAGATGATTGGTATTTTTGTTTTGCTTATTTGTATTTTCTATTTCTCAACAATAAATATAGACTGGTTTTTTTTTTTTTTCCTTTTTGTCTTTTTTCGTGACCGGCAACGGATCGCAACCCTCAGTGTCGCGCCCATACCGGACCGGGACCGGCAACAGGATCACAACCCTCGGTGTTGCTCCCGCACCTCGCTCAGCCAGTGAGCGGGAACCGGTCTGTATGTGGGATCCGAACCCTCGGTGGGAGCGCCGCCGCGCTTCCCAAACGGCGCACTGTAGCAGTGCGCCACCGGGCCGGCCCAATATAGACTGGTTTTGTAATAATTAACTTTAAAAATCACTTCTACTATAACAGCTGGACACAGATCAGTTTCTAAAAGGAGATCAAAAGAAGGTTCTGCCCATTGCTATATAGCGATGTATTATACTCTGCTTAGAGTAGCTGAAACTTCAAGATAAGGCTACACGGACGGTAACATGCAATTCAGAGACTTATGTTCTGTAGAGATGGACTCCTGGATCTTGGAAATATTATCTTGCTACCACCCAGTTTCCAAGAAATCGAGCTTCCTTGGCCAGTTTAAGAGTTGTTCAGGGTAACATAAGTGAAAAGGGTTGTCATATCTACTCTTCAGATAAAAAGTGTCTTAATTTTTAATCAGGCTTTCATTTTAAATAAGTTTTGCCAGAGTTTGTTCTTTTGTTCACTTCCCTGCCTTAGGTAAAACTCTCCCCACCCCCTCCTTCCCTGCCGTTCTTCTCTCCTTATCAGAGCTTCTTGCCCTATCTTTGCAGCAGACACAAACACCACACACATACATGCACACAATGTTTCCCTTCGCCTTACATGGATAGATCGATCTGTTGATCCATCATCTATCATCTGTCTATCTGAGTTGCTTCAAAGTCCTTTCTGGAAACACGGTGTTACACTGAACACAATAGCACTATGAAGTAGGAGTCAGAAAAATATCATCTATTGCAGACCATACACACCTATAAGCTAAGGAGATACCAGATATGTCGATTATCATCATATCAAGCATTTCTTGGAGACAGAGGTCACTTCAAATAGAGATATGCTAGAATTTGATAGATGGGGGCACAAAACTAAAAAGAGAAGCAAGAGGAAGGGTATTGCAGCCTGCTTTCCAGGAGACTTGGGTGGAGGTGTGGTCCCACGGGGAAGACTGCAAAGCCAGATATTTGGCAAAGACAGCCAGGTTAGAAACAAAAGAACGAATTAGCCAACAGCATGGTCATGTTCAAATACTTTATGTCTACTCATGCCGCAAGATGCTTGATGATTGAATTCTAAATGGCTCTGAGAAGGCACCTCCCAGATCCTTTGTAGGTATGAACAAAATGGGCTATTGAAAACATGCAGGAATAGGGCCGGCCCGGTGGCCCACTCCTACAGTGTGCCGCTTGGGAAGCGTGGCAGCACTCCCGCCGAGGGTTCGGATCCCACTTACAGACTGGTTCCCGCTCACTGGCTGAGCGAGGTGCGGGCGCAGCACCGATTGTTGCGATCCTGTTGCCGGTCCCGGTCCGGTACGGGCGCGACACTGAGGGTTGCGATCGGTTGCCGGACACGAAAAAAGACAAAAAGGAAAAAAAAAAAAAAAAAAAAAAAAAAAAACGGGGAAAAAAAAAAAAAAAAAAAAAAAAAAAAAAG